TAGTCCTGCCTGTCCTCTGCCCTAAATTCCAGCCCCAGTCCCTCTCCCATCTCTGTGCACAGAAGCCAGAGGGGGGCCCATCCATAGCTCCCCACTGCTCTTAAAATCCAGTTCTCATCCCTTACCACAGCCCGCAGGGCCCAGCTCAACCTGAGCCCCACCTGCCTCGCCTTGGCCCATCCCGTTCCTGTTACCCTGGAAACCCATCGAGCTTCATTCCACCCCAGGGCCTTTGCACACCTCGCTCTCTGTCTTGAACTCTTTCCATTATGGCTTTAGGTTATGTAATTAGGAGGTTTCAGGTGTAGGAAGAATTAATAGGCCAGATTTTTCAGACACTTGCTGTTCTCCAGATTGGCCCTTCCTGTGATTCAGGTCAAAGTCTCCCCCTCTGAGAGGCTTTTTCGGATTCTGCCCTTGAGGGAAGGGAGCCCTCCTTCACAGCACTTAGCAAATCGTAACAGGACAACAGCAACAATAATAAAGTCACTCTGTCTCCACCAGACTATAAACTCCCGGAGGGCAGAGAATTTGCTAATCTCCTTCACTGTTAATCCCAGTGACTGGTGTCTGATGCCTAGTCGTGACTCAATAAACATTTGTGGGAAGAAATGAACTTATTAAATAGCCACTGTGTGCTGGGCTCTAGGGCAGTGGTGCTCAACCTTCCTAACGCCGCGACCCTTTCATACAGTTCCTCATGTGGTGACCCCCAACCATGAAATGATTTTCGTGGCTACTTCATCACTGTAATGTTGCTACTGTGATGAATCGTCATGTAAATATCTGATATGCAGGATGTATTTTCATTGTGACAAACTGAACATAATGAAAGCATAGTGATTAATCACAAAAACAGTATGTAATGATATATGTGTTTTCCGATGGTCTTAAGCGACTCCTGTGAAAGGGTCGTTGGGCCCCCAAAGGGGTGGTGACCCACAGGTTGAGAACCGCTTCTCTAGGGACACTATAGTGATTAAGACCCGAGTCCCGGGCATCCGAGGACTCATGTTCTAGAATCATTCCCTGCCCGGGGCTGAGTGGGGGAGTTCTATACAGGGTGTTGTCCCCTCAGGGTGGCGTGCCTCCCTAGTCAAGAGCCCCTCCCTCTGACCACAAACTGCCTTTCTGTTTGTCCTCACGCAGGCTGTTTACTTCCCAGACGTGGCTCTTGTATATACTGTACATCCCTTAGTGGGGAATGCTGTCTCCCATCTCCACATGTCCAAATGCTCCGCTCCCTTTTCCTCTCTGAGCCCTCCGCATGGAGTATCTGAGATGGCGTCCCCACTGGACAGATGGACGCTATCTCACTGGCAGGTGGGACAAGGTAGCATTTACCCCCTCCTCGCCCTCGCCCAGGCTTGGTGAATGAAAGGTGTTTCTCCCCAAAGGCCTTCTCCCTTGAGATGCCCCAGCCTACCTGCCACTGCAATGCCCCCCACCCCCCACCAGGCATCAGGACAGCAGCCCTGTGCACAGCCCCCTCCTCACTCTGTGGGTGGGCTCCGGCACCCACTCGCTGGGCCATCTTTGCTTGGGCTTGGAGTCTGTCCGCGCTCAGAACAGCTGCTCTGAGCTCTGCTGTCCCTTCTCTTCTTGCCCTGGTCCCTGGAGGCCCTGATCCCCAGGCCCCGGAGACCTGCATGTCCCCACATGGCTGATCCCAGTCTTGGCACCTGCAGGTCCGCCCACAGGGACCCAGAGTGACTCCTGTGGGGGGTGATAAGGGCAGGCGAGCCCTTCCAAGCCCCAGCCGCTGCTCGCTGTGGGCGCTGGGGCAGAGGGACTGCCCACCTGAGGGCTAGGTCTGCCCAGGCGGCCCTGCTGGCTTTGGTTGGCAGCTGTCACCAAGAGCGGAAAGCGGGACACTGGCCCTGAACACTGAGCACCTCAGTCAGCTCCTCTGTGAAAGCGAAAATAGCTATGGTAACCGGGTCCTGGGGTGGCTACAGGATTAGCCGGGCACCGAAGGTAAACAATTCCCACAGCGCCTGCTCAGGGGTGCTCCCTGTGAGGGTGAGCCATTCCTCCCCTGAGCTCAGGGAAGGCGGGGCCTGGTCCGAGAGCACAGAGCTGGGGGAGCAGGATGCAAAATCCCAGGACATCAGACCCGACTCCTGGCTGGCACCACTCCCTGGTGGGACCCCAAGACCCCACGGACACCCGGGTGTCCTGACCTTCCCCCGAGCGGGCACCTCACTTGAGTTTTCTGCACTAGCACTGGGCACAGTCGCTGCCTCGCCCCTCCCTCCTGGAGCAGCACCCGAGCATCAGAGCGCGGAGGGTGCGCTTGGTGTCCGCCCCAAAGGCACTGAGGCCACCCTGGGGCAGAAGGAAGCAGAGGGCGAAGAGCTGCAGGCGAAACGCCGCGTCCGGGAGGCCCGGGGGAGGGCCCTGCACGGCTCTGCGCTCTCAGCAGTTCCCGGTGCTTCTAGGCCCCGGGTCAGGATCTCCCAAGGCGGCTCCCGCAGGACTTTGCGCTTTGGGGGAAGGGGGCGCCCCTGCCTCACAGCCCGGGGGCACCCTCCCACCAGATCGCCATCAGAGCTGCGGCGGCCCCGGCCCTGGGAGGACCAGGAATGGCCCAGTGACCGCG